CCTATCCCCCTGTGTGCCTTGCCTCCCACGACTAGGCAAACTCCATCAATATTAAAACTGATTAAATGATAATGTAGTTTAGGTTAAAAAAAAAGCAAAACACTAGACCAGTGGTTCCCAACCTGTGGTCCCCGGACCCCTGGGGGTCTGTGAAGATAACACGATCTCATTAAACAAGTAAGTTTTTTAATTCTGCTGTCCTTTTAATTGCACACTCAGTTATATATGTCTTTTATTTGATAGTGAAAAATGGAAAAACAAGTTAATTATTAGTAAGAAAAACAGTTTGTTGGGTAGATGGAATCTTTTAAAGAACATGGGGGTCCTTGGTGGTGAAAAGGTTGGGAACCGCTGGACTAGACAATAATAGAAAAGCTGCATATCTACACTCATATGATTAAGAAGATGAATAGTTTTAAACATTTATTAAACTTCATGTGCTCTAAAAATCAGTATTTCTGGATATAACATATTTCAAAAAAATATTCTAATCAAATACAGTTATTTCTGATTTAACTTGAAACTAAGTTGAAATTCAACTTCAAGAACACTCTAATACAAACACAACCTTTAAATTTATGTTGTTTAATGGACACGTATTGTTTCTTGTTAATGTGAATTAACAAAAATAAAAAAAAACTCAAAATTCCAGAGAGAAAAACCTGAATTTAACAAAAGGAGTGCCTGAACTCATTTTACATTAATTACATCCTTAACTTCAGATCATCACTATTTTCCTTTAGATTGTATTAATAGCATAAAATTAAACTTAAAATTGAAAAGCAATTATCTGAAGGCTGTGCTTTAAATGCATTTTTTCTCGAGGAAAATAGAAAAAAAAAATTCTGTTCACAAGTATTTCTATTCAGTCCCAGCCATTGCTTATATTCTGATAATTATGGTATTCTATCAGTTAGAACAGAACAAGGCATAAAGGAAATAGAAAAATTATAAAGAAAACAACCAATTAACACAAGTGACACTATAACTTATCAATGATTCTTCTAAGTAGTTCTTGTTCCTGGATTGAGATGTTTAAAAGTAAAAACATAACAAACTTGACAAGTCTGAGAAAGCTTCTGGGAATCATATTTTATTTTTACCCTATCATTTTCACAGTTAACTTTCAGTGGTGTGCAATTCACATTTAAAACATTATAGCTGATATCACACCATTTATTACAGAAACAAATCAGACCTTTGAATGTCTTTCTGGAAACAATTACTTAAACATAAGAGACAAACAAAATTAACCTGTCAGAATAAAATTTATAAAAACCTTCATAAGTGTATAATAATATTGATTGGCTAAGAAATCTAAGAACAATAACCCTACAGACTAACTTTATTAGTTTTTTGTTGATAAAATGATTTGAAATAGCATTACACAACAGTGAAGAAAAACACAGGACCTTTTAGTCCATCTAGTTTGGCCAACCCACTAAATCAAACTAAACACTACAAACTAAAAGCCAGCCCTTATCATTCAAATTTGTATCAAGGTTTCCCTTAAACTCGCTTAACACATCTACTACATTTGAAGGTTACTCGTTTCAAAGGCTAACCATCCTGTTAGAAGAAAAAAAGCTGTCTTAGCTGAAGACAACTTTTTGGGAAAATTTATATTTGTGTCCCTTAGTTTCACCATTCAATACAAAATAAAGATGATGCATCACAATGCTATCAATCCACTTAACAATCTTAAACACCTCAATCAGATCTCCTCTAACTCTTAATTTTTTCAAGATAAAACAAATCCAGAAATTTTAACTTATCCTTGTATGACAACCTTTCCATCCTAAGTATCATCCTAACAGCCCTCCTCTAAGCCCTTTCCAAGACTTCAATGTCCCTTCTAAGGTAAGGAGCCAAAGACTGAACATTGTATTCTGGATGTGGCCTAGCCAATGAGATTATATCTCTTTAGATTTGTATTCAGTATTTCTGTAGATACAATCTAAAATCACATTTGTCCTGCAACTAGCTTGCTTGGATGGCTTAAGAGACTGATCAAACCAGAACACCAACATCTGTTAAAGTTATCCCATCAAAATTATATTCATAATTCAAATTGAGATATCCTACATGCATTACCTTCCATTTATTATAATTAAAAGCCACCAGCCATTTATTTGACCAACTCACCAAATAATCTAAATACTTTTGTAAAGCAGCAGCATCCAAAATTTAATCTCATTAGCAAACTTAATAATATATTAACCATTCCTTCATCTATACGTGTATCACTGATGTAAATTAAAATGAGCAAAAGTCTTAATACTGAGCCCTGAGATACCCAACTCATGACATTAATCAAGTTTGAATAAATTCCATTTATAATCTTCTACTTTTTTCCATCCAGCTAAATTTCTATCCAATGAGCCAACTTATTCTCCACATCTAAAAGAGATAACTTTTTAACTAGCTTTTATGTGGCCCTTTGTCAAATGTTTTCTGAAAATCCATACTAAATCCACATTTATACCCTCATCTACATAAACAGTAGCCTCTTCAAACAATGTCAAAAGATTAGTAAAACAAGATTTTCCCCTAGTGAAACCATGCTAACTATTGAGCAAAATTTCAAACTTTGTTAAATGACTTTACAAAGCATCTTTTATCAGACTTTCAAAAACTTTTCCCATCACTGATGTAAGACTAATAGGCCTATAATTACTGGAACAATATTTATGACCTCACTAAAAAGAGGAGTAACTTTGATGACCAACTTCCAATCTTCTAGCAACTGCTTCCTATTCAAAGACATAGAAAAAATAGTAGCAAGTGGCTCTCTATTCCTAGTTTAAACTTACCCTTATAGTTAATAGCCCTTGGAAACAAACCAGCCCCTTACTCTATTTAAATGTAAATTCAAAAAGCAACCTTTTCCCCCTGAACTAATACCATAAATTCAAACAGCCAACTAGTTCATCCTTACATGTTAACCTAAGCCTAGTTTTCGGCCCTAGGGCCAACTTATAATTTCATCACCATATCTTAGTCTTCGCAGTATCCCTGACAGAATTAAGTTATTATGGTCCTTCTCTTTAAAGGCCTTTACTAATGCCTTGTACTTAACAATTAATTCCTCTGACCTACCCTTTCCTACATCATTAGCCAATATGTGCACTACAAAAACTGCATTACTTCTAGCACCTTTTGCTATATCACTTGCTCTGTCAGTTACAATCTCCACCCTTTCACCTGGATATAATCATTTTCTCCCTATTTACCCCACATACCATACTAAAGAATCTCCTACAACAGTAACCTTATGCTTTCATCCCTCCTAGTATTAATTATCTGCACAAACTAAAAGTTGAAATCTGTTACTTAATAGAACCTGCTCATTATAATTAAATCCACTACCACTAGCCCTATTTGTACTGTTTTTAACTGTCATTATTAGCCACTTTATCCTTCACATGCAAAAAAACTAATTTACTCTTTAAATCCTGGTGCCATTTCTTGCAGTTTACCCTTCTCTTTATCCATAGCATCTACCATATTTAGGAAAAATCTACAATTTCTCCTCCAACCTGCAAACTCTAGAAACAAGTTGTACAACTTCACTACTAGATTCCTTAAATGTGCATATCAGTCCCAAATAAAACCCACTCCTTGCACCAATTGCACCTTACAAGTTGTGAGTGCTTAATACTTACACTACTCTTAACCATAGTAGCCTGGGAATAAATAATCAACAATACATACAAGTAGCCTATTGACAACAATATAATTGGTTGTCCATATTTTGAACCAAAATTAATCTCTGAAAAATAAGAGGTCTTACTGTTAAACTTATATAACTAAGCCTCTAAACAACTGTAAACACATTAATAAAAAAAACTAACTACAGCTGATATGTTATCAAAAGTAACATGTTTTTTTTTCTTACTTATTTGATATTTAGTTTATCTTTATAATAATCAGAATACTTCTATATTTTCTCATGTTATCAAAAGTAGATGTAATACTTCTTCATTTGCATCATTCTTGTTTTGAATATTACACTATTTTAAAAAAATAGTGAAAGTAGTAGCTTCTCGACTTAAGTATTTTCCACTTATACTGTAACTTTTAAAAATTGATGATAGTCATATATAAGAGTCTTGCATTTCCTTCTGGTACAAACAGCTTATCACTTTCCACACTA